TCTATGAGGTTTTTAAACCACGGGGACTAAACTTCAGATTTTGGGTAACCACAAGGACCATTTATGATGTTTTTTTATAATATAAATATGTGTGTATAAATAGCAAATAAATAATAAATTTGAGTAATTTATCATCTATTTTTTCCCAAAAAAAAAAGTTATAATAAATAGTAAATAAATAATAAATTTGTGTGTGTGTGTGTATATATTATATATATATATATATATATATATATATATATGGGATAATGACTTAAAAGGGTAATATATTTTTTGATTTGTACACATTTGGTCACTGAGTTTTTTTTCGTCCACATTTACTCCTTAAACTTGTTAAACTGTATACATTCAGTCCTTATGACCGGTTACTCCAGGTTAGCCGGGAAAAATGACTTAATAGGGTAATATATTTCTCATTTTGTACACATTTAGTCTTTAATATTTTTGTACACATTTAGTCCTTAATATTTTTTTGTTTCAAAATAAGTTTTTTTATTTTGTTTTTGTACTCATTAGTATTTATGAATAATTTATTTAGGTTTTTCTAACGACATATTATGTGAGACGATCATTGATGAGGTGTTTGGGGTTGTTGATGTTTATCTTGACTGTTTGGTTGCGTAGGTCTTGTGGTTTGGCTTAGGTCTTGTGTTTTGAATGTCGTAACTTCTTCATACGATATCAAATTTTAACGATCTGTATACCTATGTGTCCGTTTTTTGAGTCTACTACAATTTTCGTTAAGATTACTCCCGTTAAAATGTAGTATATTTTTACTTACGATTTAATAAAAAAACATCCTTACATGCATTTATAAAAAACGTATGGATATAAAGATTGTAAATAAAAATATATTACTTTTTAACAAGAGTAATCTAAACGAAAGTTGTAGTAGACTTAAATACGAACGCATGGATATAAAGATCGTTAAAATCTGAGATTGTATGAAGAAGTTATGGTGTTCAGAACACATGACCTAAGCAACCAAGTAGTCGCGATTGCGATGGACATAAGCATAACACCTCATTAATGATTGTTCCACATAAGATGTCATGAGAGAAACCTAAAGAAATCATTCATAAGTACTGAATGAGTACAAAAACAAAAAAAAAGACTTATTTTGCAACAAAAAAAATATTAAGGACTAAATGTGTACAAAAATATTAATGACTAAATGTGTACAAAGTGATAAATATATTACCCTATTAAGTTATTTTTATCGGCTAACCTGGAGTAGCCGGTCATAAGGACTGAATGTGTACAGTTTAACAATTTGAAGGGGTAAATGTGGACAAAAAAAACTCAGTGTCAAAATATGGACAAATCAAAAAATATATTTCCCTTTTAAGTCATTATCCCTATATATATATTATCTATATATATATATATATATATATATATATATATATATATATATATATATATATATATTTGAGAAAGAAAATCTTTTTATCGAAACAAGATAATAAAGTAAGAGAATAAAAAATAATTAAATGACTATCATATGACAATAATGAAAAAATAGAGTCTAGAGATAAGTATTATATGATTAATTGGTGTGTATATAATAGGATCCAAAAAAGATAAACAAAAAAAGTGTAGGCCATGTGTGTATATGATTACAAACCAGAAAGGGTGGGTAACTGTACCTAGTGTTTGTGATTTTGCGTAATGATGCTGGCAGCGACAGAGTGCATAACTGTAGATGGTTGCGAGAGGTCAAAAGTATGTGATAAGGAAAGGGTGGAGGTGATGCTTGGCGGTGGGCTTTGTAATGGGAGAGGGAACAAAGGGTCACATCTGCGATGGGAGGGAACGGAGATTTAAGGATGTTGACTTCGACGGTGTTTGGGATTTCATTTTAAAAACAACTTATTGACTTATTGACTTTTTGAAAAGTCAATAAGTCAAAAAAATTGACAATGTGAAAATAACTTTTCATCAACCCTTTAAAAATGGAGTAAATTACACGAATGGTCCCTATGGTTTAGGGTAATTTACATATTTGGTCCCTAACTTATTTTTTTAACTCGGAAGGTCCTTAATGTTTGTTTTTGTTACACGTCTGGTCCTTGTCTTACCTAAAAAGACTACTTTTCTCATGATTTTTTAATTCATTTAAATAAACACACCCCCAACCCCACCCCCCTCACCTTACCTTACCTATCCCACTGTTTTTTTCCTATTTAAATGATAGTCTTTTTAGGTACGATAGGGACCAAGCGCGTAACAAAAACAAACAGTAGGGACCAAACACATAACAAAAACAAACAGTAGGGACTTTCCGAATTAAAAAAATAAGTTAGGGACCAAGTGCGCAAATTACCCCAAACCATAGGGACCATTTGTGTAATTTACTCTTAAAAATGAGATTTCAATAAGTTAGGATTTCTAACTTTTCTAAACTTCTTATGACTTTTTGGGTTATAAAAGCTAAAATACCCCTTAAAAGATGTATAAGTTAAGACAAACACTTTTAAAAATAACTTACTGGCTTATTTACTTTCTCTACCACAAAAGTTAATACAAACACTTTTTTAAAAACTCATTTTCCTATAACCATAAGTCAATAAGTCATTTTGTCTAAAATACTTTTTAAGTTTCAAAATGAAATCCTAAACACCCTCTTTGAATTTTGGAAGTTGAATGTGAGATTCATGTCGAGTTAAGGAAGAAAGGGATTGACTATGCATTGGATAAACTTGATTTCCAAGGATTGTGTTAAAAAATTAATATTATTTTATTAGTGGTTAATTGGATTTTTAGCTAAAATACTTGGACGTCTAAAAATTGTATTATTATTATATTCAATCTATCTATATCAAGACAAATTTATTTTATAATATACAATAGATACTAACTACACTAAAATATGTTGATAACACTAAAATCACCAACAATTTTCTTACATGTGAAAGTGGTGTGCATCGATCTTCAAGTTGTGTACTCTAGTTAACCTAATCGATCAAGTTGTTTAAATTGTTTCGGAAATGAGATGTTTTTTACGGGTTAAGAGAAACTCAACTATTCAAGTCCAATGAAGTGGTTCAAACGGTTTTTTTACTGATTCTATCATATCGGTTCGACCCGATTTTGAAGAAATTGTCCAGTTCGATATGGTCTAAAATTCACATAAATCTGGTTGTTATCGAACCACTCTCATCTTCAGTTTCTGGTCCGATCGATTCAACCGACCGATCTGGTTTTTAAAACAATGTAAGAAAGTCTATTATTGAGATTGATGATAATTATTATCTTAAAAGAATACAATAATTAACTACAAATAACGATAATAATTTAACAATGCATCCAAAGTTACAAACACACCTATAAGGTTACACATAGTGGACTCAGCACACCCTTGGCAATGGTGACATGGACTCGGGGAAAACTGCCCCTTAAACTCGACATGCCGAGCTTGGAAGGGTAACTAGATATTTCCTTACTGAGTCTCTTTCCTCTTCATCTATTCTTTCCTCATTTCTTATCCCCGCTCGGCAACCCACCCTTCTCTTCTTCTTCCGAGCTTCTTCCCCTGTTTCTTCCTTGATGGAGCTGATGTGGAGTTCAACAAGTGTTTCATAACTCCCTTCATCTGAACCATGTTGTTTTCAAAACCTTTCGAAATAGGTTAGGTTTGTAAAGTTTTGAAGTTAGGTTTAATCGCAATTGACCACAAACAATAAATCAGATAGAGACTAATATATAGGTGTTAAAAAGGCCTTATCCACCTTGTCACGACAGCAACATATACTATGTATTCTACTTAGCCCCACCCATAGTTTTCTCGATTCCATCTTCTTTCTCCCATCGCCCCCTTCAGTTTTTCTAGCTAATATTTTTCCTAATCCATTTCTTGCTTTCTTCTTCTCAATTCTTAATCCTAATCCCTTAAAACCCACTCAATAACTAGATAAATCGGTCTTTTTATTGGCTTCTTGACCCATCAAAACCATTTATTCCATCGAATCCAAACCCTATTGCAAAATTTTAGCCGATTTTCCCGTTTGGGTTCTTTCAAATCGATTAGTTTTAATCAGAGATTGAATCTCTTGGTGAATGTGTTGATGGGTTTTAAGCAAAACATACAATCCTATGTGTGCAAGCAACCCTAATTGAATTGGATCTAGGTTTTCTCTAATTGAACATGCAACTTGAACACAAAAGAAGAAACCTAGGTTCTATGTATTATAATCAAATTCACACAATATGGATTAAAATACATACCTTGATTGTTATATTGTAATAACAATCTAAAAACCTTGCTTGAAAGACCTTTAGTAGCAAGCGCCACAAGTGGCGCGCCTCTAATGGCTCACAAACAAACCTAGCAACCAAGGATTACTATGGAGAGAGAGAGAAGGGAAGTGGAAAATTCGGCTCTAAGCCTTTCTTGGAGTGCATGGGACGAAATCCAACCCTATAGGGGTTTATATAGGTGATAAGATAGGTTTAGGATAAGGCATGTGTATCTTAGATAACCCTAATCCCTTAACTTCCTCCCTAAGGCTTCCAAGGCACCCTTAGAGCCCAAGGAAACCCTAGGAGCATCTAGATTTCGTCCCCCCTCCCCTCCTCTAAGGGAGGTTCTAGAATGCTCAATGCTCAACTATTGAACATTGTCACCTTTAGTCCCTGCAGTTTCAATTAATTCCTTTAATCCCAAAATTAACTCCAAGTTAATTTCTTATTAAATATTAATTAAACTATATGATTACTAATTAATATATTATTCACATAATACATTAATTAAATCATTTATTTTGATTTCAAATTAATTTATCAACCAAGTAATAAATTAATAAATCATTCTTCTCTCTCTAACAGTCATCCTATTCCATTGTCAGGTTTGAAGGCAACCCAAAAGGACATTGCTACTATTAATTCAAGTTTATACCAATTATAGTTATGGACTTAGACACCTAATCCAACATGTGTGAGGCTTCGAAATCAAATATCAGATTGTGGTGTTTGATTGGTAACCTAATCTTTTGGTGAATTCAAGTGTTCAGATTGTTGGGTCTGCTTTCAAGTTGATGTATATTTATAAAAACTGAATCTTGACAAAATTTCAAGGGGTTTCTGGTTTTGATCTCTTGTCGTACTAGATTATCGACTTCTGAGTCTTTCACTTCGTTCTTCCGTTGTGTCTGCTGGAAATTTAAAAAAAAAATCATATCAAGGGTGAGTCAGAAATACATAAATGCCCTAAAACTCAAAACATGTTCCAAGAATCTTAGCTTGTGTTTAGTTATGGAAAAACAGTTTTCATTTTCTGTTTTTCGTTTTCGCTTTTCAATTTTCGTTTTCCGTTTTCAGCTTCGCGTTTAGTTAAAACTTATTCATTTTTCATTTTTAGTTTTAGAAAATTAAAAAACGTGTTTAGATGTGTATTTTTCTATCGGTTTTCATTTTTAGAAAATGGTAGCAGTGGTAAGGTGGGTTTAGGGGCCGTGGCAGTGGTAGGGGCTGCGACGGGGGGAAGTGGTGTTGTCGATGATGGCGACAGTGGTGGTGGTCATGGCAGTGGAAGTGGTGGTGATAGACGGTGGTGATGGTGGCGACAATTATGGCAGTGGTGGTGATGGCGGCGACGGTGGTGGTGGTGATGGTGATGGGGTTGTGGTGGTGGTGATGGTAGGTCGGTGATTGTGGTAATGGTGTTGGGTGTGTGTGTGTGTATGTTTCTATGTGTTTGTGTTTGTGTTTGTGTTTGTGTTTGTGGGGGTGTGGGTGGGTGTGTGTGTATGTGTGTTTGTGGGGATGTGGGTGGGGTGGGTGGGTGTTTGTGGGTGTGTGTGTGTGGGTGTGTGTGTTTGTGGGGGTTGGGGTGTGTGTGTGTTTGTGGGGGTTGGTATGTGTGTGTGTGTGTTTGTGGGGGTGGGGTGGGGTGAGGGTGGGCTTGGGAGTGGATGCGGGTGCGGGTGCGGGTAGGTAGGGGTGTGGTGGGTTGGGGGTGTTAAGGCGGGGGTAGCTAGAGGTAGATGGGGTGGGAGTGGGAGTGGGTGTGTGTTTATATTTTAGAAAAAATTTGGAATTAGAAAAATATAGAAAACAATGATTATTGGTTTTCCAAAAATTTCCAACTTCTTTTTAATTTTAGAAAACGGAAAATTTTCATTTTCCATGAAAAATTTAGAAAAATAAACGAACTAAACGCGTTTTCAAAATTCTTATTTTTCTTGGAAAATTTTTCTGGAAAACAGCCAATTTTTCTGCAACTAAACACACCCTTATGTTCATTTTTAGATGAAAACAAAAAATCATTTTACAAAAAGAAGAAGAAAAACAAGTTATAGAGATTAAGCCTTTTGTAATTCATCAAAATTATAGAAGATGTTATGGTAAAGAGAAATTAATGTGATATTTAAGTATCTGTAGTTGTAGAGGGTTTGATTTGAACAGTGGGAATTAACCTACGAGGTTGTGTACGAATTTTGGTTTGAAGCGGGCCACAAACCATAATTTTGGACAAAATTGTTTTTTCATAACCAACAAAACAAAATTGTTAATACATATATACATATATGTGTACAAATTATATGATGAGCAACAAAATTGGAATTAGTTTGAATACTGACTGGAAAAAACAGCCTTCCTGGTAGCTTTTGGAGCCATACCAATTTCATCATTTGCAATAAAATGGATAGTAGGGCTGATTGCACCCAAAAGATGGTATGGAAGTCCTATGTAGACAAAGAATCATAGATGATTAGTGATAATACATTGAGGAAGAAAGAATGAAGACATTGAACAGTGAAACGATATGGATGTTTAACCTTTCTAATAGTGAATAGTTGCAATTGAAAACTGGAAAACAAAACCAAAGCAATGAAAATTAGAAAAAAAAATAAAACGGAATAGAAGTTTCTTTTTCTCTTATCCAGAAACATTAGGGTTTGCCTCATCTTATCCACAGTCTGGAAAACAAAACTAAGAAAACCCAAATCACTTATGTATCACCGTGACATAAGATGGTGGAATAGAAGTTTCTTTTTCTCTTACTGATGAATCAAAGCCCTTTAAGAGCTTTATGAGGACCGAAGCGACGCCGATCAAGGTTAGACACATGCCAAATACCCAAATTCGTTACAAACAAACCAATATAGATAACCCCAATAAGCCTTAGGGTGTTTGGATTAGCTTATTAGCTTATTGCTTATTAGTTTATTTGTGGTGGGAATAAGCAATAAACAATAAGCAATGGGAGAGATGTTTATTAAAATTAGCTTATTTAGCTTATTCCAAACACAATAAACTGATTTTTAAAGATTTTATCCGAACACTTAAAGTTAGCTTATTATGGTGAGAATAAGCAATATACACCCTATTTTTTTCCTATCCAAACACCCCCTTGTTAAAGAAAAATTTAAACACCCCCCTTGTTAAAGAAAAATTTAAACAAATTGAATGAGATAGAATAATCACCCAAAGTACCTTCGAAAACGAACCTTCTAGCGGTGTGATATCACCAGGGAGAAAGACGAATTAGGGCAATAGAATCCCAAAATCACCGATGTCATATAATGATGGAATAGAAGTTGATTTTAGTGTTACTAATGAGTCGAAGCCCTTTAAGAGCTTTATGAGGACCGAAGCGATGCTGATGAAGGTACACACGACCCTGATGCCCAAATTCCATTAGAAACAAACCAACATAGACAATCCCAAAAAGCCTTATTACAAAAAAAAAAAAATAAACAAACTGAATCATATATAACATTCACTCAAAGTAGTCTCTAAAACAAACCTTCTATTGATACGATATCACCATGGAGAAAGACGAATTAGGGCAGCAGAATCCCAAAACCTTATTGAAATGAAATTAAACCACCAGAAGTATCAATAACACACACTAAAACCGAATACAACACTTTGAAGAAATAGGAGAATGTGGAAAAGGAGATGTAGCTTACATAAGTGTCAATTGGCATCGAACAGTTAAACGTGATATGTAAGAGTGGTAGTCTGTGTAATTGTGATTTTCTCTCGACTCTTTTCGTTGCCAAACTGTCATTATATATAGGGGTGCTTGTGATTACTTATTTGAAGTATTTATTGGGCTTATTGCGGCTTGACAACAATTATTAAAACATCGGATATGCTAATTCAAACATTTTTTTTTAATTATGTTTTTGAAGCTAGATAAACTAATAATCACTCTTACTAAAAAACATAAGTTGTTTTAACGTAAAGCTTGGATGCAATATTTTGACTTGAGTTGAGCTTTTAATCTATTAATAATATACTTAACAAACTTGTTTTTTTATTATCAATAAAACATGAAGAAAATTAGTAGCATACAAATATGTTTTAATTGATGTAATATAATCTGTTTTCTAATTTTGGTATTATAATATTATAAGAAAATTACGATTGAACCCTTTAAATCGAAAGGTGTACTTATATTTTACATTTTACTTTTACGAGAATTTCATATATACTCTTATTAAACTTTAAAATATCGTATTTAACCTACCTAAAATCTAAATATAATATTTACCCTTTTTAAATTTTAAAATATCATAATTACCCAAATTTATTTTTTGGACTTTTATAATCAGTTTTTTTATACTTTTTAATCATATTAATTTATCAAAAGAGGCTAACTGACCATATTGCCCTTCAATATTAAAACTTTTGCCATACATTCGATTGATCGAATTATCCCCAATTATCTAACCCTGAGATGTAGATCGACTCCTTACCCCAAGAAGTGTTTTACCTATCAAAATAGTATCAATCCAATCGATACCCACCATACTTTTTCCCCTGAATTCGACTCCCAATCTTCATTAGACTGGAACACACTCCTACCCATCGAAGAACTCCCTAAAAAGCTACAAGAAATTGTCATTCTCTTTCAATCTATAGAGGATCCAAGAGCCAAATACGAGCAATTATTATTCTATGGCAAAAATCTTCAACCCCTTGAAGACCAATTCAATACTTACAAAAACAAGATTGCATGTTGTGTTTCTTAGGTCTAGTTACAAGCTTATTTTGATTCCAGTATTAAAAATATGATTTTTGAGGCTTCTTCTGATTCCATACTGACCAAAGGTTTAGCAATTTTATGGGTTCAAGGTTTGTTTGGTCACCATGTGCAATCTTGAGGGTTTCCTCATATTTCATTGTTCATTTGGGTTTGTAACAGATTTTGACACCTTCTAGAAACAATGGGTTTTTGAATATTTTTGAAAGTAATAGAAAAAGGTCTTGACTATATAAGTAGGGCTGTAAATGAACCAAACGATCACGAACAGAGGCTTGTTCGTGTTCATTTGTTTAACTTTAACCGAACAACAAACGAACACGAACAACTAAACGAACTGACTTTTTATGTTCGTATTCGTTCGTTAAGCAATTTAGTGTGTTCGTGTTCGTTTATGTTCGTTCGTTTAGTTGATAAACGAACACAAACGAACATAAACGAACACAAAGTCAAACAAACTTAAACTAACATATATTAACAAACATAAACAAATAATAAAGAGTTTTTATTCTAGTACTGTAGTAGTTTATTGCGTATACACATACATGTATATATTAGTATAAATAATAATAATAATAATAATAATAATAATAATCATAAATAAACAAACGAACATAAACAAACGAACGTAAACAAACATAAATGAACGAATGTGAACGAATGTAAAGGAACGTAAATGAACGAACAGGAGCATTGTTCGTGTTCGTTCGTTTAACTAAACGAACTAGGTATCTTGTTCATGTTCGTTCGTTTATTAAATAAGCGAACGTAAACGAACATCTCGCCGAACGGTTTACGAACTGTTCGTCGAACGTTTAGTTCGTTTACAGCTCTATTTATAAGTAAAAGACTACAAGCTAAGAAATGGATTGAATCGTCCACCTATATTCAAAGCCCCATTAAAACAACTAGAATCTAATTTAAAATTTGAGAAATATGTTAGAGAACTCAAATATTGATGACTCAAAATCCGATGGTTATTCACAAATTGAGAACCCTAATATTAATGGACAATGGTGTTTTGGGAAGTATAAGACAAAGGATATCAACGATTCTAAAGAGTGACAATAAACCAATCGAATTGGAAGTCAAAGATGTATCATATTAGCATGGTGGACATGCACGGGTGAAAGGTAGAAATGAGGAGTGTCAAGAGACACTTTTTAATTCAATGGAGTTTGAAAGGAAGAACATGATTAACAGGTATCGACAGGAATTCAGTCAATCAAATGTATTGCAAATGGGTTTCAATAATGAAGGGCAATTTGGTCAATTAATTTTATTTGATAAATTAATATAATTATAAAATATAAAAAGTTATAAAAACAGTTTAAAAATTGTTTTAAAAATAAATTTGGATAAATATGATATTTTAAAAGTTAAGGATGGGTAAATATGATATTTAAATTATAGACCTGACAAATACGATATTTTGAAACTTAATAAGGATATATACGAAATTCTCCCTTTACTTTTTGTGTACCACCTCCGCCCTATCTTATTTTTCTCCGACTCTTCAAAATCCAAAAAAATTTAATCTTTCATTTTTTTTTAAAAAAAAATTAATATATTTTATACAATTTTTTTATAGACAATCAAAAAATAAAAATATATACATAGTTTTTGTAATTTTTTAGTATATATGTTATTTAATAAAAACTGAAAAAGAATAATTTTTTTTTCTAGCGTTGCCGAATAGGAGAAAAGAGAAGCAACGAGGAATCTATCCCGTGTGGAGCTAAACCGCACCCATTAGGACCACCAATGTCTTTATTAGGCTGGAGGGTGTGGTGCCACCGAAACCTCACTCCCTCCCCCGCCAAATCAGCGTCATGTCATTTTTTACCATACAAGTGTGGTTTCTTGCCACACCAAGGGAGTGGTGCCACACTTTCAAAAGGCAAAAAAGAAAAAATAAATAAATAAATAAATAAATCAATTCATTTATGCCCCCAACGGTCACACCCACCAACAACCAATCACAAACCACGGTCTTCAAGGACCGCACTGCGGTCTTGGCCGCACCTAACCGCACCCTGGGGCGGTGTTCCTTGGCCACGTGTCACCATCGCGGTTCCAAACCGCATCCCACTCCGTGAAGCCTTAGCACACTCCTATTTTTTAGGGGGTAAATGTTATAGCAACCCTATGCTCTTTACTTAGGATTGGAGACACCGTACACCCGTACCACCCACACCGTTAGGACCACCAGTGTCTTTATTATTATAAGAAAGTCGATTATTGATTTTGATGATAATTATTATTTAAAAGGAATACAATAATTAACTACAAATGTGAAGATAATCATTTGACAACGCATCCAAAGTTCCAAACACACCTATAACTCCGCTGTTTTCATACCGATCGAATTAGGTTACGTTTGTAAATCTTTGAAGTTAGGTTTAATCGCAATTGACCAGAAACAAGAAATCAGATAGCGACGGAGACGTGGGTGTTAAAAAGGCCTTATCCACGCTGTCACGTCAGCAGCATATACTCGGCATTCTACTTATCCCCGCCCACAGTTTTCTCGGTTCCACCTTCTTTCTCCCATCGTCCCCCTTCGGTGTTTCCAACCAATATTTTTCCTAATCCATTTCTTGATTTCCTCTTATCAATGCTTAATCCTAATCCCTTAAAACCCACGCAGCAACTCGATGAACCGGTCTCTTTATTGGCTTCTTGACCCATCGAAACCATTTATTCCATCGTTTCCGGATCCTAGTGCACAATTTTAGCCTAGTTCCTCGCTTGGGTTCTTTCAAATTGACGAGTTTTGATACGAAATCGAATCTTTTGGTGAATGTACGAGGCTTCGAAATCGAATCTCAGATTGTGGTGTATTGATTGGTAACCTAATATTTTGGTGAATTCAAGTGTGTTCTGTTCTGATTGGTGGGTCTGCTTTCAAGTTGAATTAAATTCATAAAAACTGAATCTTGACAAAATTTCAAGGGTTTCTTGGTTTGATTTCAAGTTTTGAGTATGGTGGCTATAAAAATTGGGATGCTTCACTATGTATTGGACCATGTGTATGGTGCATTCATGCACAGAACAAAGCTAAGCACGCCGTTCTTTTCAAGAGGATGGGGTGGCACAAAGCTTGATCTTTTAGAACGAATGATTCGACAGATTTTCCCAGTAGTTGAAGGCCAAAATTGGCCTCCAAGATTGATTCAACCCGTTTGGAAAACAGTTTGGGAAACCAAAAGTGCTTGTTTGAAAGAAGGTGTTTTCAGGACCCCTTGTGATGAACAACTTATCAATGCATTGCCTCCTGAGAGTCACATTGCAAGAGTTGCTTTTCTTGCCCCAAAATCTGTCCCACCTCACAAAATGGCTTGTGTTGTTCATCTCGCAGGTATACACCATTAAAACATAAGATTTACTGTTTCCGATATGATGATTGGATTTGAAATCCTTTGATTATGAACTTTAGGTACTGGGGACCATAGTTTTGAGCGAAGGTTGCGACTTGGTGGACCACTTTTGAAGGAAAATATAGCAACAATGGTTCTTGAGAGGTAATAACCAATTCCATTATTGATTTTAGCTTCCGACATCTTATCTTTTATTCTTTTTTGAATTGTATAGCCCTTTTTATGGACAAAGACGCCCATTTCTGCAAAGTGGGTCAAAATTGTTATGTGTGAGTGATTTGCTGTTATTAGGAAGAGCTACCATTGAAGAAGCACGCAGTCTCCTACACTGGTTGGATTCTGAAGCAGGTTTTGGTAAAATGGGCGTTTGTGGTCTAAGCATGGGTAACTTTTCAACTCTAATACTATCTTTTAAGGGCAAACGAGTCAAATCACTTTGTTTTTATGCAAAAATTAGGTCCAAAGGGCAAAACTTTATGTGAAAACGATACAGTAGCCAAATGCATAAGCTCTGAAAATTTCTTCTACATAAATATCAAGAAATGTAAAGCTTTCAAGATCTTTTAGGGTTTGTTTATGGTGTTTAGGTGGAGTACATGCTGCCATGGTTGGATCATTACATCCTACACCTATTGCTACATT